GGCAGATATAATAATATAAAAAGCTAATACACACATCAGCTCCACTGGTTGACATAATTATCTGAAACAGCAAGACATGTTTCCTGACCAGCATGTTTGGTCTAGAGAGAGAGAGAGAGAGAGAGAGAGAGAGAGAGAGAGAGTGTGTGTGTGTGTGTGTGTGTGTGTGTGTGTGTGTGTGTGTGTGTGTGTGTGTGTCTTATTCCATTAGTAAGTATAGCTTTAGGCTGGTTTACATTTGCATAATGAAGTCAATAACACTGCCCCACTGGGAGGGAGCACGGTGACATTATTACTAATTTAATAAGAAGACTGGAATTCGTGAGAGTGTATGTGTTTGTGTGTGTGTGCGTGTGTGCGTGTGTGTGTGTGTGTGCGTGCGCGCGCCCCAAGGATGGAATAGGACAGAGATAAGAAAGATGAAGGGAATAATGTATTTTCAGAAATGGACAAGAGGGGGAGTTGTGAAATTAGGAAAGGAAAGAAGGACAAAATATAGATTACAGGGAGACCATAGGAAGGAAACAGGGAGCCAGAGAGGAGCCAGAGAGGAGCCAGAGGTGGTGTTGATGAGAGGACATAAAGTTAGAGAGGCAGAGAGAAGTGTGGAAGGAGGGAGGAAGGTACAAGGTGAGAGAGGAGAAAGAGAGAGAAAGAGAGAGATAAAACCAGGGAGGGTGAAGGAGTCAGACAGTAATGAAGGAGCAGACAGTGTTATGGAGAGACAGAGATGTGGTGATGTGTGACTCTTGTGTCGTTCTCTGATTTTTATCCAGGGTTTGGTGTCCTTACTGTTGTTTGTGAAATGGAGAAGTTCGCTGTGTAGCTTAAAGCTAATGTTGCTACTCTCTGGTTTGTGTTGACCCTGTGTGACAGGAGGCAGGATACAAAAATGAGTCATATGTAGTTAAGGCCCATTTTTATAGGGATTTGTCGAACAAAATCTGTATTTTTTGTGGATTTGCACCTTTAGCCTCAACAGTAAATGAGGTATTGGGAGTCACTCTTAATGACAAAGTGTATCAGTATGAGAAGATAAATTAACAGAATTATGTAGCACTTGAAACTTCAATCAAGCTTTGTTGAAAAGTAATAAAGAGTCACTGTGTCAGTCTAAGTGGGTTGGGTCTACATGAAAACAAAAATATTGTTGGAAGTGCAGCTTGGGGTGCATGGAGTTCTGATGTGATTAAACTACAACTCCCGCAGCCACAGGTGTGACTTTCCTCATTCTCTGTCAGAAGTGCTGACCTAATCCAACAAAGTATTTTGACCTCAAATTCTCCTGGTTTTGTTCAAAATCTGCAAGAATGTTCAACCGAATATTCAGAGGAAAATCATCTTTTCCTACCTTTCAAACTCTCACAGATGCCACGTTGTGTCTCAGTAATCTCTTCAAAATCATGAGGTTACAAAAACACACATACCCACCAAACCGAACAGCACTCACTGTGCTGTATAGTGTGAACCTGAGCGTTCTTGTTGATTACTGTTCGCTTCATCAGAATGTCTTTGGATGGATGGTGGGTTTCATCAGATCATCTCTCATGAGTGCGCTCATTTCCATGTGTGTGTGTACAACAGCTACCTGACAATGAAATATGTAATACCTTGATGCAGCCAACAGTAAGCATTTATTAGGCGGCTGAGATGAAGAAATGTAGTCTGTGCCTACTTAGAGGCTTGTTTTATAGAACAGCTGCAGGCAGCTGTAGCTCATTTGACATTTTTTGTAAATAAACGCAACCCAAAGTGTTCAGAAGACTAAAAATAGAATAGAATAGAATAGAATTACTTTATTGATCCCAAACTGGGGAATTGTGGCAAAGTGCAGTCTTTAACTGGGAGCTGTGTTACCTGCTTTACATTGATGTCAAACTGCGTATTACATTACACACCCATGTTATCTGGAAGCAGATACAGTTGTTGTTGTGACCGTCTTTGCCTAAAAAGCTCAGCTGATCATAGACGGTGTGAAAAGTATCTGGGGTGGTGGTTTAGTGGCAGAATTGGGGGGGGGAGCATTCTTTTTTTTCATGACTGAGCATTCAGATTTATAAACAATTGCACACACTGCCATTTGAAGGCGAGGTTACACCTCCTGTGCAGTGGCTGCGGAATGGTGGGGCGAGGTTGTTACACCCCTGATCTACCATCGGAGGAAGTAAAAGACTAGTAATGAGGGAGCGGAGCGGGGGTTGGGACTGTGGTGATGGGAAGGCAGAACACCACAGTGTGTTTGTGTGTGTATAAACAATTGCACACACTGCCATTTGAAGGCGAGGTTACACCTCCTGTGCAGTGGCTGCGGAATGGTGGGGCGAGGTTGTTACACCCCTGATCTACCATCGGAGGAAGTAAAAGACTAGTAATGAGGGAGCGGAGCGGGGGTTGGGACTGTGGTGATGGGAAATGTCAGATTCAGCTATAGGCAGAACACCACAGTGTGTTTGTGTGTGTATGCATGCCTGAATGTGTGTTAATGTGAAGCTACTGCTGTGTGTTCATATGCCATGCATCTCGTGCTCCTGCAATGCCATAATGTGATGTGAATTCACAACGTAACCAATATTACGCTGTTACAAATTTAATATGAAAGTACAAAGGCATAATGAAAGCGAAACTTAGTTATGTGACTGTAGCGCAATCCCAATCTGCAAAAATGACAATAATAATGGACATTATTTTACATTTTTCACATGCAGAGGACAAAAGGGCGTCTCCGTTTCAGGGCTCCAACATTTTTTTGCATGTCCTGTTAGATATAAGCAGCGCTGGACTGGAGAGGCCAAATCGAACAAGACATAATAGCACACCATCCATGTGTCCCCCTGACATCTCCCTTACTGTCTTTTACAAACACTGTCCATACACTCCTAGTTCTCACAGTAATGAGATAGTTGATCATCCTATGAACCCTCTTCATCCCACTTCTTGCGGACAAACCCTAACTCTGCACTTTTGAGCTTCTACTGCCAAATCTGCAAACCAAAGCTTATTCCTTTCACAGAGTTCTCACAGGGCACCCTCAGATCTTTGAAATAAACTGCTTGGAGACAGTAACACTACAGCATGTCTGGCCTCAGGTTAGAGCAAACTTATTCTTGTAGAACAGCAAGTTTTCCTCCAAAATCTATCTGCATTTTCCTATAATTAGCAACCTTTAGGTGGCCTGACTGCTAACTTCATTTTTCTTCTTTGCAGACGAATTGAACCGCTACCCTCTTATCCTGAATTTACATGACATCTTTTACTCTCCAACACCTGTTTATGTTGCCATGTATACCAACCTTGAGAGAGACTATTCTTACAATCTGACAGAATGTGCCTCGAAGTTACTAAAGATGAGCATGATGGGTCCCCGTCTACCCAATGTTTTAGGTTCTGTGGTGATTGAAGAACCTATTTTTCTTCACACCAGTTTGTCTGAGCTAAGCAAGTTGAGCGTAAAGCCAATATATAGCCCACAGCCAGAAATTTAAGAGTTATATAACTGTCACCTGGCCTTCAAAACTCACATAAAGAAAGTTTTGTTTCGTCATGTTTCCACCACTAACGCACAATCTCCAGGACTAAACCAATATTTTTTTCAAATGGACATGGAAAAAATAATCAACCCATTCATTTTCTCCAGATTAGATTACGCTGACTCTCTCCTTCCCAATCAACCACAAAGCACTCTCTCGACTCCAGCTCATACAGAATGCAGCAGAGAGGCTTCTTACTGGTTTTCACAGACAACATCACATCATCCCAATACTGGTTTTCACTGCATTGGCTCCCAGTTACTTAATTTAAAGATTTTACTGCGCACTTTTAAGCATGGATCTGGCATTGTTGAGCCTATATGAATCAGCCCCTGAGGCCCAAGGCGAGGCCCTTATGGTCATTCCAAAGTCAAGGCTTAAATCTAAAGGAGATGGTTCTTTTCCATCAGGACCCATTGGCTTTGGAAGAAAACCAAGTACATTTTTGTATATTGCTGCTTAAAAAAAGTCTTATGCCTTATGCCTTCTCTCCACAAGTCCCTGACTTTTTCTTGGGTTTAGTCTTACACAAGATAAGACCTACATTTTTGTTTGTGTATGTGTGGGTATGATATGTGTGTTTGTATTAGTGGTTGTTGTGTCCCACCAGTCCTCTGAGTGTCCTACATATAAAGGGGTCCAGTCCAATGTTACTACCAGCTGCTGTCTGTATCTCTAAATATAGCCACTGCAGTGCAGGCTCCCAGGGCAAGACTGGGGATCAGGTTACTTCTTCCCACTGCTCTCTGACATCGACATACACAAACACACATACAAAGGCATTCTCATTTTAACTGGAACTCAAAAACAGCTTCTGACAGGCTTTAATAACTCACACAGGGCTCAAATAGATATTTATCCACTTATCTACTCCTTACTTTGACCTCTGTTTGACAAGGCAAGACGTCTGGGAGGAAATGTGTTTCAACTGAGAGAAGTCAAACTGTGGTTGGGAAATTTTTAGAAATTAAAGTCCTGAGTACTTTATTTTTTGAGTCGCTCTCAAGGACACAAAGTATGAAATGCTCTCTTTCTCTTTTGTTAAAACTGTAGGTGTTTCTGTAGAACCAACGAATCATTAAATGCTTTAAAACTCACAACAGGCAGTAAAATGAAATAAATCACAACATAACTACATTCTTCATTTCTTGGATATCAATTACCTGGATATTATGCCATTTACAGTGGCAGTTTCGAGAGGTTGGAAGTGGTTTAATGGGTCTCCTGGAGGTGGCTGCCTCTATCATTATAACATGATTAATAAGCTTAGTGTTTCTGAGCCACAGCACAGGAGACTTTAGACCTTTGTCCCCTCACTTTGTTCTTTTATCTTCTCTTTTTCCCTGCTTCAGCCCTTGATCTTTTACTCCTAAACCATGATTTCTTTCTCTCCAGTCCCTCCCTCAACCTACCCTCTCTCTCCCTTCACTTCCGCTGTCTCTTTATTTTGGACCCTCAGAGGGGGTAGGGTGACTCTCAGTAGGTCACCCCCTTCTCCCTGCTTCAGTTTGCCTCACTCTCTTCATCATTTAACCGACCAGGAACTTCATCTTTGAAACTTTCTTTGACTCAAGAATTTCCTAGACACAAACTGAAACCTTCAGGAACAACCTAAACCCCAAAAACAAATCATTTTTACTGGATTTTCCTCTTTTTTTCCGCTGTGGTGGAGGTTCAGGGGTATTTTTAGACCTGCTAGATCCAGCTCATCACAATTGCTCTGCGCTTGCTCTCTGCTGGATTTGAGTGTAGCCTCCATCAAAAAACATCCTCACATTCAACCCAAGCTAAAGAGGATTTAACGAAGGAGTTACATGCTTGTTTCTATAGTAACACTGCCTTTCCGGAGCCTTTGAAGGACTGAAGGTTATCACGGAACATCCAGCAAACTTGAACGTCCAAGGTACTGTGAAAATTAATTTCACTCTGGCTGAACTATAGTATTGATCTGAGGGACGGAGGGCTCTGCACAATCCACACAATTATTGTCTCTTCTAGAAGTTAGCTGAGTTAAATTGCAAAATGTAAAAATAATGAACAATTTTAGTCTAATCATAAAAAAACACCCCAAAATAATAACCCATTCTATTACAAAAAAAAAGCTTTGACTGAAGTTATAACTTCTGGTTAGTACTTTTTATAGAAAGTTAATGGCAACTCAACTAATTGCCACATGTCGCAGTCGAGGAACAGGCTATTCATGTGTATCTTTCTATTACATAACGCTTTGAATCTTAAGCTTAGGATTGATAAGCTAACTAAAAGAGAACGAATAGTGATTCAGCCCCTTCCAACTAACCTCACTGTACCGGTTGGATTTATAGGATAGAATAGGAAAGGAGTAAACTATTGGTAATATTTGGCTACAAACTGTAGAACTATAGCGTTAGCTGGCTGTGACTTCAAATCAAACGCAGCTGTTGTGACTTACAGTAGCTTTTAGAAGGCTACCTTGTTGTCAAATATGTTTTATGTTGACATATAGGGATAAGCATCCCTCCTAATTGAACTATACTTTTTTTATTTAACTTCTTCATTAATCAACAACAAGTAGCAATCTGAAAAAAATAGACCCAAGCTTTAGTTACCAAAACTATAGTTCCATTGGTGGCCTCTGATTTCAAAGACAGTCAGACCCCAATAGGATCCAAATTAAAAAGCCAAACTTTACAGCAGTAATACTGTGGACAGCCTGCCATTAAAACAGTTTTGGTCTCTGTACTTAATTGTTATTCCTCTACAATTTGTACACCAGGGCCAACAGCAGAACAAAATAGTTTATCAAGAATTTGAGCAGTGCAAGCTGAGATTGATGTCAGTGATAAAAAAGCCTGTGTTTTCCCTCCCAGAGTCAACTTCACCTTTGCTTAATCATTTAAAAAATGGCAGTAAGCTGCCACATGCTGTCAGCACAAAAAAATGATACTATAAAGAAACATTTTGCTGCAAGAAATTTGAAAAGAACTCACAATTCACTCTTTGTTTTCCGTTACACCTGTTACACCAGGGGCTTCAAAACCTGTTTGACTTAGGAAGGCTTTATACCGATCAAGGCCTTAAGAGTAGATGTGAAGCATTTGTGTTAAACAATACATTTTTCGTGTGAGGGAGTTTCAAGACCTACAGAGTTAAAAGCATTCAGACATTAATAAGGAAAAAAATATATTCTTAGATCTGTGCTCTGCCTTTTATCATCTCACAACCCAGGTTAGGAAGTTTAACTTTAAGTAAAATATTTACTATGATGTTCATGTAAGAAGTTACATATAGCCCCTTTAAGCTTGAGCCAAAATGTTTGTTGTATTTAACAAACTTATTGTGTGTACAGCACATTAAGGATCAGTTGCAATGTACCACTGTCAAGGACATGGTTTCTTTCTTTCTTTCATGAAGGCAATACATCTTTGTCTTCAATAACTTTTGTAGCCTGTGCAAACTTATCCCTCTGTTTTTTTAGGAGTCAGCAGCAGTTGGTGCCTGTTCAAAGATCAGCTCTGCACCCCGTGGTAACAACAGGTGGGCTGTTTCATGTGTTGCTAAGAGGTGAAAAAGCGTTTGCAGGCTGTGACTCACACTTTGACAGAAATTATAAAAGAAAGTGCTACAAATATTACACGAGAAAGAGAGTTAAATGGTTGATTGCTCAGTGCTGCTTTTTTCTGTTTGAACTAAGACATTCAGACGGTAGTGCTCCAATCTTTTGTCATTTTAACATCGTGACTGTTTTACCTGGCGATCAATACCTTGGCCTGACCAGCCGTTGCCAGGGCTTCAATCAATGACAGGTCTTTACACACACACACACACACACACACACACACACACACACACACACACACACACACGCACATACTCAGCTGTACCTCTATAATGATGCACACACCAGTTGTTACTCACCAGATTGATGTTTAGCTTTCTGAAGTCAAACCATTACACAAAAGCAAATTGTAATGTTGTGTGTGTGTGTGTGTGTGTGTGTGTGTGTGTGTGTGTGTGTGTGTGTGTGTGTGTGTGTGGGCAGAATTTAGTTGAATTGATTTTATACCTAGTTATCTGAATGCAGCAACAGAAAGGTCAGCCTGAGACCAGCTACTGAATCACCACACATCAATTATCTACATTACAAAGGACCTGGATGACATACATCCAGTACATTGACATCGGACAGAACATGTACAGTATGAGCATTGAGTACTGTATGTACCACAGCATACACTGAGGAAATTATGGAAAACATGTGTTGTTGGAATTGAACTGTAACTTTGGAAAGATTCTGGTTTTCAGGGTTTATTTTAGTTTTAGTTTTAGTCTAGCCACCACTGGCATTTTTATAAATTGTTCGGTATCTCATTGCATTTTTAGACTACTTTAATGGTCTTTGATATTCATACAGTCCTTTTTTGGAAAACATTTTGTTCTATTTAAAAAATCTTCCTGCTTACAATGAGTAAATACTGTAGAACACATTGTTAGTTTGCCAGACAGGGAAAGAACTGAAAGAGAAATGAATGAATGTAAATGTAGGATCCAGCATTTATACCCCCTAAGGATTAAATGCCTAAACTAACCTTTGCTACATTTATTTAAACCTGTCTTATTAACCTGTCTCTCCCTGTGAAATCTGTGAATCAATCTCTGATACCATATTGCCCAAATGTTCAAAGATCAAAGCATGTATGCAATACTAGGAACTGTATGCCTCAGCTCACATGTTTGCTTTCTAGTTTGTCTCTGGCATTGGTGGTATTGCATTAAAACATTACAGGCTAGTAATTCATATATGACTATATAGACACCATCTGGGGTCCTGTATCAAGGTGTAATTCATCCCCCGGATAAAATTATTGGTACATTTTTTGCTTATATGGAGTGAGGATAAACATTGGCCACCATCCAATGATGATACAGCTTCTGGGAAGAGTGGCCAGGTTTTTAGGGCTAACTGTAAAAATGTAGTGTGTTGCCATTGTTTCCAGTCCACTAAGTACTTTGAAAAGCAAAAATGAAGTTAGAGTTCAGAAACAAAGTCTAAGAGCAGATTGTTAGCTGCAGTTGCATGCAGAGGTCTGTTAAAAGTGTTTGATATGAAACTTAATGATCGTCAGGTGAAAGCCAATGGGAGTCGTGTATACTCAAACTTCATACTGAAGAAACTAGAATGCTTCCAATACATCATATTGGGTGGTCATTTTCTGCAATTTTGTGAGAATCTGTGCTTGGAAATTATTGAAGCAGTGACATCTGATTTTTTAATAGGAAAAAACATTGCTTACACATGTACGGAACAAGATGAGCTCAGTGCTGTTTGACCACAGGGGGCGCCAAAAGCAAAGCAGGCTGAAAGCTCTTCACAGAAGCTTTAATACAGTTCTATTTGATTACATGTAACTAATGTCATGTAAAGTAATTTACAAGCAGGAAAACTTCAGAAAGGTATTTGTGCTTACCGAGTCATTTATCTTCCATACAAACTGTGATGTGTAAATTGCAGTTTATGGGAATATTGAGGTGAATGGAAGACTTTACAGAGAATGAAAACCATTATCTTATTATATTTCTCTTGTCCATACCAGGTGCTCTGTCTTCATCAAGTCAGCCTACCTGTTGCTGAATTGACTGTTTCCTATTTCCAGTCAAGCACATCTTGTGTGTGTGTAGAAAGTCACAGACAAGAATAGGCTTTAATATGTCAAATTTTCTCTGGATATTTACTTTAACTTACATCTAGAAGTATTTAAATTGCAGTGTGCGCCTTGAGGTGCATGTATAATATGATGAGGAGACAGGGGAATATTGTCACCATCCTACACTTACCCTCTATTAATTGACAGTGAAGATGAGAGCCATTAGAGTAGAAATCACCTTCTAATTGTGTGATCAGGTTTGTCATAATGAACGGTGTTAAATGTTTCAGCTGGACCAGCACAGAGAGCACACAGGGCTTATATGGATCTGCATCCTTCAGGGCCTCATTAATAAACTTGAGAAGGGGCATATTTCTTCCAAATGAGTCAGTCCTATTTGAATCCCATCTCCACAGCAGTGTTACTATCACTTTATATTTGCAGATAAGCTGTGAAAGAGGCACGCAGAGAATCTGGGGGTGTGTGTGGGGGGGGGGATAAATCATCTGAGGCGCTCATCGAAGCACGCCTGGAATGAACACAAACAACTAAACACGAGAGCATAATCGTGTTATGGCAGATGGTTACATGGCAGAACAATGATCAAAAGTTTCTTTAGAGAAGTAATTTATCTTGTAGAGCAGGATTTTTTTTTTTTAAAGTGAAATGGAATTTGATCTCATTGCCTTGGGCAAAATGTGTATCTTTCTCTCTTTCATTGCTTCCTCTCTCCCCTCTACCGGCCGTTCTCATCCTCTCACAAAGGGAAACACGACATACTTGCATGATTCACTGACATCTACCTGAATTAAACAGCTGCTGTGTGCTTGAATCAAACGATTTGGTACACATGAATGTAAGTGATTGTAGGTATTCGACATATGAGGCACAGATTAAATTTACCTTCAGCTTAGACACAGATCGTCTCAAGGGCAGCTAATCCAGAGACCTTAATATAGAAGCTTTTTCCTAAACTGTGACTGTGTGTGCAGAGAGCCTGTCCTCTGCCTGTTTTTTGATGTTTTGTTTTGGTTGCCATGGGACGTTTCTGGACAGGAAGCTGGTGTGTTTCCTCCAGCCAATGACAGCATTCATGTGAGTTTATTGGAGTGGAGACAATTCAGAGATTCAAACTGGCGATTGTGACGGACATGTATGTACAATCAAAAAAGAGTGGTAAGCTTGTGCTAGCATGCCATAGCTTGCAGTGTAGGTACAATCGGTAAACGTACACACTAAGTCCTGCAGTGAGTCTGCGCTTCTGGGGGGCGACGAGCCCAGGAGGAGGGGCCCAGTTTAAATGCAAAATATCTCTATTAAGTTAAGGTCACGGGTGAATCTATTTTTGCACCTTTGTCAAGCATTCTAAGTGATTTGAAAGTCTTCCAGTCACTCTAGCTCCCTTAATTTTAATCCTTTCCCTTTTGTGCATTGATCCTAATTTTTGTTTAAACCTCTCTCCCTTTCTGCCCCACATCCTCTTCCTGTCCTCAGAAATCTCTTTGCCAATGAGCAGCCAGACCAACAGCGGGGAGGCGAGCTCTCCGGCTCAAACCAATCAGAGGACATTTTTGGATGATGTCCTCTTGACCTTCAGTTCACCGATGGCCTGGCTGCTGGTCGTGGCTCTGATCCTCACATGGTCGGGAGTTGCCATCGTTCTCTTTGATCTGCTCGACTATAAAACGTTGGCAGGTGAATAGTTCTTTGAATTATTTGTTTTTAATGCTTTTTTTCAATCAATTTAATCAATTTTGCATTTTGTACAGTTTTTTTCACTACAATATTTCATAATAGAAACCATATTGTGATTAAAATGTGTTTTTGATTGTTTATCCAATTCATGATACTTTCCTTCAAATCATTTAGATCCATTTTCCACTGATCATTTAGGCTAAACATTCACATTTCATCCAAGCATTTTTCAACGACCATACAGACACTTTTGAAGCAGTCTTCAAAAGTGGAAGCTCACTTGTGTTTTTAGACATTCATTCACATATTCACTTGGAATCTAACATTTATGTCTCCATCATAGTTGACAGGTTGTGTACCATTGATGTGATACAGCTGTGTACATATATTGACACTTCTTCTAACTCCCAGTTAATGTCACACTCATAAACCAGTTGATGGATTGAAAGGGCATTTCCAAACACATGTTCAGTCATATTTGCTTTAAAATATCTAGTCATTAAAGGATTTCTCTTTTAAATTGATAAAAACATATTTACTAAATTATTTTATTTCATGAAAAAAATCTAAGAGAGGTTCTGTCCCTTTAAAGAACCCATATTATGCCCTTTTTGGGGTTCGTATATTTAATCTATGTACCTACTTTTGTACGTTCACAATAGCTAAAGTCCAAAAAAAGTGTCTGTTTTCATGTACTGCTCCTCCTTGCTCCCTCTACGCTCTGAGTCTGTCAGCTACACTCTGCTGAGCCTACACTGTTAGACCCCACGTGGGCCAAGTCTGCTCTGATTGGTCTGCCGATCCGCTCTGTCGTTATTGGTCAGTTGCTCAGCACGCTTCTCGGAAATGTCCCGCCTCTTTTACCATATTGGGAATGCAGCCACTGGCTCCGTCCGAGGGTAGCATAAACATTAGCACCTTAGCACTACTGTGCTACCGCAGGCTACGGCATATTGTGGGCGTGCTACAGAAGTTAATGGGCGTGCAACATGAGCTGCCACAACGAGCCAATGGGCTTAGATCAATGATATCACACAATGACGTCGGACTGACAAATTTTTATCGAGGGGGGCTAGAACCGAGCATTACATGCGGCTAATGCTACAGCCAATAGGAGGAGATAGGAGAAGCCTTGTTTCCGCGGACTTTGAATTTTTGCAAATAGATGTGCCTAAACATGCACAGGACACTTGGAAAACACACTAAAGAGCATATAAAACCAGAAAAAGAAGAATATGGGACTTTAAACCAGTTGTCTTTATGCTATGATTTATTAACTATTTAAATATTTTCTTCCTTTTCCGTGACAAGACCGGCATTTAGATCAACGTTTAAACATAACCTTGATTGGGGCAAATCCCTTTTGACACTTCACATTCGGTAGTTTGTTTAATGAGGAAGTAAATGCAAAACATACAACAAATCTAAAGGAGTTAAAAATCTTCTTACTAAGTTATCTTCCTATAGTTTGATATGCTGGGGTCTCCAAACTGCAAGTTGCTCTTTAACATGTTCTGTAGCAATCTGTAACTACACCTGACACACAAAGGTTAACTTCCTCAGATTTACCAACCCCACAACAGGAAATCAATCATTTTGATGAATAGATGTATAACAGTTTACAGCTCATTTACTGTGATAATGACCTTTCTATCAATTCTACTTATATCTGTTCCATATCACTCCTACAACATCTGCACATGACCATGTATTTGGACTATCCTACACTGTCAGAATAGTCCTGCCTCACACATCAAACACACTCATCTCTAACTCCTCTCCTCACTCTACTCCCTCCTTCACCTCTTCTCCATCCTCATGCCGTCAATCACCCGCCATCCCATCCAAAGAGTACACATCATACTGTGACGACCCCGTGTGTTTATCTCCTGGTAAAACAAAAAAACTGCCAATCCTCTAACAGTTTGACTGCACGGCTTGTTTGCACTAGAGCTTTGCATGAGACGGACCAGAGAAAATCAAGATAGACACGCTCTCTGTCTATTATGTGTCCAGTTTATTAATTGAAACTCCAACTTTTTTAAAAGGGTGAATCAATACTAAAACAGCAGCCTAAAAACCTGCACTTTCCGCTGGTGGAGACTTTCCACTGGATGAATCACTAGAAAGTTTCAAAGAGCTACTTTTCTGCCCCAAGGGGTCATGTCAAACATTTGCCCAGGTTTTTAGATTTTCTTCTCAGAGAAAGTGGACAATTTGTACCTTTTTGAACCTTTGGTAGAGCATGTTTCTTAAAGAAAACCCTCCATAGAAATGTGACTATCCTTGAAGTAAAGCCCTGCTCAAACACACTTTCTATGATATCTGAAGTGTTACATTTAATCATAGCATTATGCTCACAGGGTGGTACAAGAACGTATTTCAATAACAAGAACTAGTTTAAGGAATGAAGTTCTTGTAGCTTACTTATTGTCTGCTATACTGAGCTTACATTCTTAAAATGCCAGTTCACAGGGAAACATCCACTTTTGTATGGTTTGGCTAAAACAAAGGCTTATAATAGATAATAGTGATCAAGGAACTGGGTAACAGCTTTTGTGTCTGATAACATCACAAACCTTTAGCTGTGTTTGGATTCTTTATCTCGGTTATTTCATGCAGAGATATGCAGTAAAGTTGCAGAATTGTATCTATTAGCTCAGCAGGAATAACATATAGAAGCAAATATTTGCATGTTGACAATGACAAAATACCAGAGCTGCATTTTTAATCACAAGGCTTTCTCTTGCCGTGACATTTCTATAAAGACATTTATGTTTCAATGAAAGACGGAGGATACTCTTTTGGACGGCAAGGAAGAAATGAAATCCCTCCTGTCTTTGAAAGTGCAGAGAGAGAGAGAGAGAGAGAGAGAGAGAGTTTGGTGTGTATGTGTGGAGATAAAAGCAGAGAAAGTAGAGTCAGAAAAGGAAACAGATTATAGCAACAGTGGGAAACAGACGCACACCTTGACACACTGTAACAAAAGATATAATCATTCAGTGGAGATCAAGGTTTAGAGAATAAAGAAACAGCCAGAGGGAATAAAATACACAGATATAAGAACAAGGGAGAAGGTGGAAGAAAGACAAAGATGCAGCACAGCCAGCAGTTTAATCAGTTTATCAAACCTCTTCTATTTATTTTCTTTCTTTCTTTCTTTCTTTTCTTAGAAAACTGATTCTTTATAAGAGGGTGTATTCAGAACGAAAGAAAGAGAGAGAGAGAGAGAGAGAGAGAGACAGAAAATAGAAGAATAAAGAGAACAAAGGAAGAAATGAAAGTAAGAGAAAAAATAAGAGAAGGAAAAATAAGAAAGACAGAGAAGAAGAAAGAAAAAAGAAATGTAGAAAACAACAAAAACCTGTAAACAAAAACAAAAAAAAGGAGAAAAAGAGAAAGAAAGAAGGATAGAAGGGAGGGAGAAGATACACAATGATGGAAAGAAAAGGAGAAGGAGGAAATAACCAAAAGATGAAAATAACTACAACCAGAGCTCTGTGTTATTTCATTTTTTCTTTATCCGTCTCTGATGTTTGCTCCTTTCCTTTGAAATGTATTTTGGAGTCTCCTGGGTTTGTGTTTTATTATTTCTCCTGAGCATTATTTGTATTTTCTTCTGCTTTCTTTGTTTTTTTTGTCATTTTCTTGTTGATTGTAAATTGAAAAGAATACCAAAAAAAATAAATAAATAAAGGTTCAGAGTGGAAAACAGAAAACACTGATGGGAAAAAGGTCAAAATGAGACAGAATATAGATGTGAATTAGAGAGAGAAAAGTAGAGGGACACTGAATGAATGAGAGAAAGAAAGAAAAAAAGAAAGAGATAGTAGAGTGACAGAGAAGCTGAATGAATAAGAAGCAGGAATGAAAGGACAACAGGGAGTTAGCAGGTGGGAAATGCAGGCTTTTCTATATCTGGTGTCTCTGGCTCTGTGTGTGGAGTGCCAATCAAAAAAATGTCAGTGAATTAATCAGCTGTTTATGATGATCTATTATACGAGTCCTCCACACCGCATAACAAACAGGCACAAAGCTTCTCCCACCTGAGAGAGTTTTAATTCAAAAGCTTAATTAATGCGAGTAACTGCTTGGAGATAGATTCTTTGTAAATGTGTCCCCACGGCTCGCACAGAAGGGTCAAAATACAAACCGAAAAGAATCATTTTTAATTTTTGCTGCTTTCAAATGCCTCTGGTGCATTATTTGTTCATCTCTCTCAGCAGTTCCGTCAGTTGTTGAACCCTTACGTTACCTGTGTATTCAACAGCTGTGGCTACTTTAAATTAACACATTTAGAAAAACACAGAGGAATTCCTGAAATAAAAAAATAAAACAGAAGAATAAATGAATTATGGATAGATTTTTGTCTTGGTGCAACGGTTTCTTTTGTCATCCTTCAGAGGTTAATAAGCAGCAATTAAATGCTTTATTACCAGTAAATAAACCATGGAACTTTAGGTAATCATTTAAAACAAACGTAAGCTGTGAGTTGTCATTGGGACTAAAACCTCCTTGTCTAATGAGTCAGTATTTGTCAAGTTATTAATCAGTTCACTAAACATTCTCATCAGCCATCAAGTCATGCAGTTAATAATGATGTTCATTAGAGTCACAGGTTTCTTTTTGTAACCTGTGGCTCCTTTCCCGCATGTCATTCCCTACTCTCTTTCTCCCTGATTTCCAACCCTATCCACTGTCCTATCTCTTCAATAAAGGCACAAAATGAAGTACATGGTAAATCCACTGAGTCGGCACTTTTGAGTGTAAATAGTTATATAACCAATGACTATTGGAGCAGATGTTCTGCATCTGTTTGCCAAAAGGTTAGAGGTCAAACTGTCCTTGATGTTGTCCATCTGATTTATTCAAGAGTTTATCAGACACCGATTATGATGGAGGAGAATAAAGATTTACCTGTCAACCCAGGTCTGTAATTTTTTTTTATATCAATCTATACCAGTTCTGTTACTCGTTTTTTTTTTTTTATTCATCAAAAAAGGTCAAAAGACAGTTCCTCATGAAGTGGAAAGCAGAAGTAAGTGAGGGTCATTACTACATATACTTTAATGGTGGACACAATGATAAGAATGTGTGAGGAGTGTTGATGTTGCAGCTGTGTGTTGTTTCATGTAGTGTTTTGAATCAGCATGTGCTCTGCATGATTGAATATTTTAACATTTTGTATGATGAACATGAAGTGCGTTGTGTGTTGTGTGTGTGTGTTTTTTTTTGTAAAAAGTTGCCTCTCATCAGTGTTTTCTGTCTTTCTTTATCTCTCTTCATTTTCTTCTCTCACTGTAATCTATATTTTACACTCGGCGTCATGCTGTCTCTGTTAACATCATGTCTGTGTGTCTCTGCCCCTCAGGTCTCCCTCCTCCCTCTGCCATGGGTAAGAGAATAATGAGGTCTAGAAGTAAGTGCAAACACCTTTTAAACATACTGTTTCTTTTCCCATTTGGGTCCAATCCTTAGTTCTCAGTGTAAATATATCTGTACAATATTGCTCTCTCTGGTAACCTGCTGTGACCAAAGTGTCATTAATGAAATGTAACAGAGTGCTTGAGCTCTGAGGATGGTGAAGAAAAACACCCACACATTTATTCTTACAGATATTCTATACTTTGAATCCATCGTTACAAAAACTGCCTTTCTGGAAGTCATTGTAAATTAACTTATTGACGTTTTAGCTCTCGAAAAGGAGTTTCTTGAACTGTAATTCTTGATGTTTTTGTTCTGCCTTTTTTTACTGCCTTTAGCCTACGTCTTCTAATTTATTTTTTGTTTGTGATTATGCTGAAAAAACAGAAAATAATCAGCAGAAAGTAATTTCTGGTAGTAAGTAGTGTCATGTTTATGATCAACCTTCAGTGCTGAAAATGAAGCCACAGAAGTGCACATGAGGTTGGCTGCAAAAGCCTCACAACCCCCCCCCCCCATCTGATATTGGTGTAATCGACATCACATGGGGAGCAGGCAAACTTTTTCATTAATTCACATAGTGCACATCAACTTTTTGCTAAAATATAACTTTTAACAATGACATTTAACAGATCTTCAGAACAGCAGGAGAGAACGCTGTAGTTGCGCGCTCAGGGTGAGATTCTGCTCGCGCTCAAAGCATGGTTTCTCCTCGCAGGATACAATATTGCTCGTGCGAGCATATCAATTCTGTGCGTGATTGCTGTGAAAGCGCTCACAAAAATAATATGCTGTTTGAGTTGCACGCACAGCTCCTTTACATCCGCACATGGATCTCATGTACGCGCGGGGATATAACGCCATAGGCTAGGAGTTACATTTCTTAAATGTCAGAGTAGTGTCAACAAAGATGATATTTTCTGCACTTACATCGTGGTGTTTGTATGGTTTATGTTAAATAAGTTATACGCTAAAATAATTCTTGCTTACAGGCAGTTTTCTTAAATAACTTTGCTACCTAATAACCTAACCTCGTTCAGATATGATATTATAATATTTACAAATATCAAGGCTCTTAAAGGTGTTGGGGTTTCAGAAATGGGCTGAACAGTTTTTATTATTTTCTTTGTTTCTTTACTCTTTTTTACGTAGGTGGTGTTCGTCCCATAAAATCAAGGCCTGCGCTCGTCCCTGCTGATGTCACAGCTCAGGAGAGTGCTGATTGGTTGGAGATGATTTGGACCTTTGTTGCCAGTTTGGTGGCTCCTGAGGATGAGGAGGAAGGTATTCACCAGCTAACTGAAACCCTCACATGTAAGAAAACATCACCTCACACTAATAACTCATTACATGACGATCATTATCAATAACTAATAACGTGAATACGATTCATACCCCGGTGAACGTCTCACATAAACTTGCCCCAAATCATGAATCAAACCTTTTAATATTCTGAGTATAGAGGGACTAATCAGCATGACAACTCTGACATCAGATGTTTATTATTTAAAAGCTTACCATGATCATCCAAACCATGCAGACAAAAGTAATGAAGGAGCTGTCAGAGCTTAATCACTCACTTACTAATGGAGTTATAATGAGTTTGATGCCCTTTAACCCGCTAAATTGTTGAAATACATCAGGCATAAAATAAACTTCCCACTTATCTTCTTTATCCAATTATCAGAGCCATTGGTGCATTCAAAATATTGTTAATTAAGTGTAATAAAACTTTGAACTTGAAGCGCTGATCTGTGTATGTCACTATACTTCAATGACACTTAATAGTTGTTCTCGTCGGAGTGAAAGAACGACGTGTTAGAGTTATTGAGCCATGAATATGAGAAGCAGTTAATTACAGTGAAAGAGTTTCAAGGCCAAACAGAAGCAGACAGAAAGACAAATGGAAAAAAACACGGGTTTTTTTTCACCATCTAGAGGTGCGTGAAAGTTAGGTGAATTTTATGGCTGCAATAACTGCGGTTAAAGAAGTCCTTGATTTCTTTTTTTCTTTTTTCAGCTTTCCACTCTGAAGAGCTCTGAACAAGAGAAGTCGGCATGGGGAGAGGACGAGTACTGACAAGAAGTTTAAAGAGAGAGGAAGAGGAGGCAGAAAGAGATGAGTGTCTGTCTGAAGTGGAGGATGTAAAGGAACTGAAGAATGAGGAGCAGGATGTACAGTTTAGCACAGTTATGTTTCTTTATGACCGCCTGTCATCAACTGGAATTTGATGAATAAAATCTGCCAATTATCAGCCTTGGGTTTGGTTTCTCTTCTCAGTCTGACAAGCCATTTAAATTTCCCTATCTGAATCCTGAACACTGATGTCTGGATTTGTTCTAAAGGAGTATGAGCTGTACCCTTTTGAAGAGACACAACTATAATTTTTGATGTTTCAATGTTATTTTTAAAGCCTCAATAAGCAATTTTTACGATTTAAAATAGTAGTTTCAAAGTCTGTCTAAAAGTACTGTGGTGTCTATCCCATTTCCACAGAGCGCACTGGTTGCTTGCTTTCAGGACGATATAACTTTGGCAGTGCAAGGGCCATAAAGCCATATGCGAGAAGTGCATCAGAATTTACGGAGGTTGGTTTGTCCTAGTTGACGATTTTTCACACTTAAATATAATAGAAATCAAGTATATCCTCTGAAAATAACTCTGTGGGTCATGACTGTCTACAATGGGTGTAACACCAGAGTCCCACTGTCTGTGATGCTTTCTGAGTTTTCCCGAGTCCTATCTTCAGTTTATTTACATCGCCAGGACTGCTGGCCAGCTCCTCCCCTCGCGAATAAAAGTTGTTTAATTGAGGGACTAGAGAAAAGAAGAATAACATACTGTACTCACTGCTTAACTGTGTTTCTAGATCACGCTCATTTCGGGTAAAATTTACATGCATGTGAAGATACGAGCATAATAAAGATCGCTAGCATTGGCATGCTAACACAACAATGCAAAGCAAGTTGTTTTGCTTTCATGCTGCTGCTCAAGGGCAACATCTGCTGGATCAAAAAAAATCGCATAATAAAGCCTTTAAGCTAAAAAGAGGTCAGTTAGCCCATCTCTGTACTGTTTGATACGACGGTTCAGGCAAAGATGAAAGAGGACGGTGATGGATGAAACTATGACGAGAAAAAGAGAGCGTGACCGGACAAGAAGCCGGACTAGAGTAAATATTGGACTTTGTCAGTCTTTGGCTTCTCACAACATCATGATCTGCGTTGTGGAAAAATGCTACCTTAACGCTAATCAATAGAAGAAGATATTTATATCCCCTATCAAATGATTCTACCGGAACACAATTTGGAGCAGGTTTCGGTACAGTATTATTACATATTACAGGGGAAGTGTATCTAAACACCACTACTCACTGCATTTTCACAGTAAGCAAATGGAAAGCATCTTTATAATAAAGTCTTTTGAATGATTATATATTTATTTATTCTTTCTTGTTATCAGCTCATTTTATTTTGATTCCATGCTTGTCCTATTTTTTACCTTGACCATGGCGAAAATTCACATTTGACTCATTATCTCTCGAAGCACCGTTCACTTTTTTTCATTTACAATATAAAAACTCAAATAAAAAGAAAACGGATGGAGAAATCCGTTACACTTAAAATTTCACTAATATTTATTGATATTTATAGCAACACAATGTTGAATTCTTTTAAAAGCAATATAATTAATGGACGTTTTCTGTATTATTTTTGTCTTGTCTCATAACCCTTGAATACATTTAGACAGTTTATTTACACAACCCAACTATCAAACTCACTTTATGTCACTTTATGACACACAAACATGTGAACTAAATTATGTTGCCCTACATTTCTGTTCTTCAGCGTCTCTTTTCCTCCCCAGTCATTTATCTGTCTCCACATCAGGTGGTCTCAGATGGAAATGACTAATAAAAAAACACGAGGCCCTCTCTTGCCACCAGGCAGTGATGAGTTACAGTATGAGCAGCAGCCTGCCGGGCAGAGGGATGAGCAGTGATCAAGTGATGCAAGGAGGTAGCTGACATTGAAGAGATAAGGAGCGGGACAGCGAATGACAGACAGAAAAACACCAAAGTGAAACTAATAATCTATTTAGAAATGAAAATGACAGTGTGATCCTCAGTTTACAGACGACAGGACTGGACTAATAAGGAGATACATTAAGATACATTGTCTGTAAGACTGAGCATGAGATCAGCAACAAAAATATATGAGCCATCATGCGTCCTAAAACATAAGCAGGTCAACATGCAAATAATTTACATTTCTTTGTCTTCTGTAATACTCAGGTAACAGCAGCGAAATACTCATAATTCCTTACCACTAAAAAAGAACAATTAAAACATATTTTATTACGTCTTTCCTTGAGGAGGAACGATACAAAACAAAAGACAGTTTAGTTTGACAAAATATAAGTTTTCATCCCCACATTCAAGATGAAGAAATTACTTATTTCATCATTAAAGAATGTGTACAAGACAACATATTATCATCGCTAGCCAGACTCACTGTCATCAGTGACATATTAGCTTAAGAAATAAATGCCAAAAAAAACACCTATATTTGATTCAATAGAAAAAGAAATGTCTCAGAGTAGTAGTATGAAATAGACTTTGAAACAAGTGATGGAGTTAAAGGCTGTCTAACTAAGTTATCTGCTCGTATCTCATCTTATCTTATGCTGCACAAAATCAACCAAGGTAAAGATGAAGCCATCTCCTCACAACTTATACCGTCTGATTGTTGCTTTTTCTAGCAGAGCTCACATAATGTCGATCATCTTACTGCTAGAGGGGATGAGATCTTCTCAAAAGCTCAAACCTCCCTACTTTTACAGAGTATTTGTATGTGCATATGCTCTATGAACAGATTGCATATATAAATACAGAATCAGTGGGGAATCATTCACTGCTGCTTCAGTGGGCGTTGGCTTTAAGCAGAAAAGAAGACGGTGGGGAGAGAAAATGTAATGCAATCATTATTTCAGTGGTCGTCTGATAACAATTAAGTTTTTTTTTATGAATCTCTTGAAACAGATATCTGCATGCAAGTGAAGCCAACGATTCACTCAAAAGGAAATCTTGACCAGAACTGCTTTAAAGGTTGAGCCTCGCTCAAAGGGGTGTATGGTCATTAAACAAATGCAGATGTGTTCCAAGATTATGACATCGATGACACATTAGGAATAGCGCAAAGAGTGAAAGGTACAGCTTGTGTTAAACAACAGCATTTTTGTCATCTTGTTTGCAGATAAAGTAAAGATCGATCAGGAAATAAAGAAAACAAATATAGCTTTTGCAGGGATATTAGAAACAGATCATAATATCAGTGAATTGTTTAGTTATATCTCTCATTTGAATAATTTCTTTGACAAATCCATCTGCCTTTTTGTTTGTGGTGTTCTTTTCTGTTGTCTGCAGCTACAAATGTTAATGACTGGCTGTTAATTGGATATATTAATGTTTGATTAGAATGAGCGTGAGTGTTGTGGGAATGCGTTTCTGGCGTAATTTAATTGTCATGAAATTAAAATGACATTATGATGAAATCACAAGTTTGTTAGAGCTCTAATAGATTTTAACCACATTGTAGTGATGAGTGTACAGGGAGTTGATTTAGTAAATCACATTACTTTCTACATCTACTTCTTTTCAGACCCCGCTAAGCAGGATATTTTCACAGAACATGTCTCGTGATCTAATAGCCTGCTTAAAGTAATGAGAAAAATAAACATCTGCTCTGGAGTGTGTGGAGTGAAGGAAATATCAAATTGGACATAGACACAGTAAGAAAGAAAGACGAAACATTGTTAAAAAAAACTTACAATGTATTAATAACAAACATTAGCCGTAATGCAATATCCACATTCAATCGAAGCCTAAAATGATTTCCTCGTTAAGAGCACAAAGAAACAAGTTTGAATATTCCTTGTTGTAGTTTGTATTACTGTTTTCAAAATGTTAACGCTATTCAATTTTTTATGTGACAGGGCAAAGTTAATCCTTGAATATTTGACAAAAAGTCTTCTGACACACACAAATAACACACACACACACACACACACACACACACACACACACACACACACACCTTTAGATTCCCGGCAGTTTAAGCCATGAATAATGGATCTTAGTTTTCCCCGGCCTGAGGGAGATGCTTTAAAACATAATTTGTTGCTTTAATTTATTTACACAACCTGGAAACCCTGCCCTCAGGCTGGTGCATTATACAGAACTCTACCACACCAGGAGGGGATTACACACGGTATACACACATTTACAGCCTCATGCATCTGCACCAGGTATGACACATATTCCTGTATGTCTTTTGTAAAAGTTCTATCCACTATGTCTATCTATCATATGTCTGTTTCACACATTTACAATTAGAATCGTATTGTTAAATAGTTAACTTGCTGCCGTGTTAACAGGTGTCACAATCGGTCTGCTTGCAACTCGTCGAGCAGCCTTTCTAAAAAGTTTGTTCAGGGTTGAATTTACCCTTGATGGATTACAATAAAGTCATAATATTCATTCAACAGAGAATTTAGACTAATTTCCTTTCACTGCAACATTCAAGTGAAGAAGTTTATTTTAGTTGAGTTTCAGAGCCATGCACTCAAAAACACACACAAACAACCTTGTCTGACGGCAGTTCATGTCAAAAGTGCCAAATGAAATTAACAGGTTTGTGCCAATAAAATGTTTTGTTTTTTTCCCCCTGGCAGCTGCAGTACCTGTGTTGATGTCAGTATGTCAGAAAAATACACGATGCATGATTTGACATGTAAATTCCTTCTTTAAGCAAACACAATGTTATAGGAGATTATTGTATCAGGACCTGCAGCTACTTTTACAACTATTATTAAATGTGGCATGGCAGCAACATGTTCCGGATTTAATGATGAATATATGAAAAAAAGAAGAAGATAAAAAAAAACAGAAGACAAGCTGACAGAAAACCCAGTCAGTGAGAAATCTAGATGAGGACATTTTATTTGTCAGGTGAAGGAAGAACAAGTTGGAAAAACAGATGGAGTCTTTACAGATTCCTCCTCGAGTTCCTCTGGGTTGTCAGATTTAGCTCCTAATCCCTTCACTGTTGAAAAGATCAGAAATCTGCTGATGAGGGTTCATTTGGATGCCAGATTCAAAATGTCCAAACAACATATGTAACACGTGGCAGAGTTTTACTATTTTTGATGTGCTTTTCAGATTCAGCTTCAGTTTCAAAAAGAAAGGATACATTG